TTTGGTGTTTGCAGTCTGACCACCTGTCCTTCCGACAAAGGCTTAAGAGCCCTGCTTGTCTTGTCATAATACACCTTTTGTGTCAGTCTTTTATTCAGAAGCTGTTCGCGCACTTCCTCAGGATTGAGCATTTTGGGAGCAAGCAGCTCTTTGGACACTGGAAGAGTGGAGCGTGTTTGCCTAGACATAAGTCTTTGTGCTGGAGATCCAAGTTTAGAGTCTCTAGGTACGTTCCTTAAGTTCAGCAGGCAGAGAAACACATCTGTTTTGTCCCTATGTGATTTCTCCATGAGGTTCTTAGCACTACGGACGGCTCTCTCTGCTAGTCCATTCGATTGAGGATACTCTGGGCTGCTAGTAACATGAGCAAAGTCCCATTGAGCTGCAAAGTCCTTAAAGCACTGACTTGTGAACTGTCGTCCATTATCTGTGATCAGAGTGTGAGGGGCTCCATGGACCGAGAAGTGCCTTTTTAGTTTGCAGATCACATTAGCCGACGTGATGTTGTTTAACAGGTCGATCTCGAACCAGCCCGAGAAGGAATCCACAAGCACCAGATACTGCTGGCCGTGCCATTCAAAGATGTCAGCAGCTACAGTCGACCAAGGGAGCTCAGGAATGGTGTGCAGGAGCAACGGCTCTTTTTGCTGATGTGGTTTAGTGCTATTACACACCGAGCATGCCTGAACCTCGTTATCAATGTCCATTGTCATTGTAGGCCAAAACACAATGCCTCTCGCCCTCCGTTTTGTAGCTTCCGAGCCAGGGTGGCCCCTATGTACAATGTCAATGTATGTCTTCTGTAATGAATGTGGAATTACAGTTTTCTGACCCTTCATAACAATACCATCCTCAACAGCAAGCTCATCTCTAAAGGGAAAGAAAGGATGCATTGCAGAAGGGAGATTGTGTAGTTTACTTGGCCAGCCATGTCTGATGACGCCGCTGAGGGTCTGGAGAGTCCGATCAATGGCTGTGTGTTCTCGCAGTTCCTGTAAACGAGCAGATGACACATAGCTGACAGTCATTACATCAAAATCATCCACCTCGTCTTCAAGTTGTGCCGTGGAGCTTGTGGGAGCCCTGGACAAAGTGTCAGCCAGGTGCATTTGTTTGCCGCTTTTGTAGATTAACTCAATGCTGTACTTCTGGAGCCGCAGCATCATCCTCTGCAGCCTGGCCGGAGCAGTATGAATGGGCTTTTTGATGATTGTGACCAGCGGTTGATGATCAGTTTCAACGGTGATAGATTTGCCATAAATGTAATCATGAAACTTTGAACATGCAAAAACAACAGCTAATAGCTCTTTTTCTATTTGCGCATAACGCGTTTCGGTATCGGTTAAAGTGCGTGAAGCATAAGCCACAGGTCTGCCACCCTGCAGGCACGCAGCACCAAGTCCATATTGCGAGGCATCACAGGTAAGTGTAACATTCTTCCGCACATCATAATACGATAGAACGGGAGGATTTGACATGTGCCCTTTAAGGGTGTCAAACGCGCGCTGATGCTGTTCATGCCACGACCATTCAGTGTCTTTGTGTGTTAATTGTCTCAGTGGAGCAGAGGTCTCACTGAAATTGGGGATGAATTTCCCGAGGTAATTAACCATACCGAGAAACCTTTGCACAGCCGGCACATCCGCTGGCACTGGCATGTCACTGATCGCCTTTGTTTTCGTGGGGTCTGCCTTCAGACCGTGTGCAGTGAAAACATGTCCAACATAACTGACTTGGTTGAGCCTGAATTTGCACTTTGAAGGGTTGAGCCTTAGATTAACCTCTCTCGCTTTGTCAAGTACCTTTTTTAGGTTTTCATCATGCTCCTCAATGTCCTTGCCTCCAATCAGTATGTCGTCCACAATGATGGCGCAGGGGTAACCAGCAAAGATTTGCTCCATGGAGCGTTGAAATACCTCACTGGCAGAACTTATCCCAAACGGCATTCGGAGGAATCTGTAACGACCAAAGCATGTGCTAAAAGTAGTTAGCATAGATGATTTGTGGTCCAGTGATATCTGCCAAAATGAGCTCTTTGCATCCAATACTGAGAACACTGTGGCATTAGACATTTGTGATGCGACATCATCTACTGTGCGCATCGGGTGGTGTGGTCTTTTAAGGGCCGCGTTAAGGTCCTTTGGATTTATGCAGATCCGTATTTCTTGTTTGTCCTTCTTATTTGTGGCGACCATGGAAGATACCCAGTCTGTGGGTTCTGATACTGGTTTAATGACCTCTAGTTCTTGCATTCTGTCCAATTCGTTTTTTACTCTGTCTTTCATCGCCACAGGAATGCGGTGTGCTGAGCGAACTACAGGTCTCACCTCAGGATCCAGCGTCATTGAGTAAGTAACTGGTAGCTTTCCCAGCTCATCTGCAAAAAGATCACTGTACTTTGTTTTAATCTGTTGAGTGAAATCATTAGTTATTGCAGAGCTACTCACTTGGTGAACTTCCTTGCTGAGTGAGACGAGATCCATCTGTAAGGAAGCGTTGAGACCAAGCAATGGCTGTACATGCTCCTCAATAACGAAGAATGGCAAGGTGTAGCACTTAGCCCCTAGGTGGCAGCACAGGTCAACGATTCCCTCAGTCTTTATCTTACTGCCTCCATATGCAACCAGGTTCGTTGGTTTAGTGCATGGTTTGATTTGTTCAAATTTTTTCACCTTGAGAAACGTCTTTGTTGAGAGGACATTACATTTGGCACCAGTGTCCACTTTCATCTCGATGGTTTTATCATTAATCCGCAACGTTGTGAAAGCTTCCACCCTTTCGTTTGTTTGTGCTACAGTAGAGTCCACCGCCAGGTCCAGTGTAATGCCATTCACATAATATGTGTTACTGTCACTGTCACTCTCCTCTTTGTGTTCAGTATACACCTGGTGGACCGATTTCTCTTGTTTAAGCCTGTCGTACTGAGGTCTGGACCTGCAACACTTTTTGAAGTGGTTCATTCTCTTACAAGCGTTGCACTGTTGGCCATATGCTGGACATTTAATCCTTGCAGCTGAATGACTCCCACCACAATTGTTGCAGTTGTTAATTAACTGTGTGGGTTTTGCGTTTGATCTGTCGAACCTCTCAGTGTTGCGTCTTTTTGTGTAGTTGTTTTGTACTGCATCTACATTCGTGGCTGAGCTTTGTGGCGACATGAGCGATTTATTGTGCTCCTCAGTCATCTCATGAATCTGGCACACTGAAATGGCTTTAGCGAGTGTTAAATCACTGTCACGAAGCAAAACTTTCCTAAGGTGGTCGTTGTTTATGCCACAGACCAGTCTGTCTCTGACAAGTTCCTCACGAAGCTCACCAAAATTACAGCTCTTCGCTTTTATTCTCAAATCACTCACATATGACTCAACTGTTTCACCAGCCTTTTGATTTCGTGTATTGAACTTGTGTCTCTCCATCGTTATGTTGGTTTGGGGGTTACACATTTCCCTGAACTTTCTTTTAAGGCATTCTGGGTCCTCCTTGGATTCAGCGGGAGCCAGGACACGTCCATCGTCGCCAGGTTCACGTACCTCCGCTGCATAGACAAAAGAGCGCTCCCTCTCGATTGCTTCAGGGCCTGCTAGATTCAGGAGAATGTAGGCCCTTGTCCGTGCAGACTTGTCTGAATGAGCTGCCGCGACGAAAATGTCGTATTCTTGCTCAAAAACGCGCCAGTTCTCCGCAATGTTGCCATCAAACACCAGCGGGTCGGGACGTCTGAAGCAGTCTGCCATGATGCTGAAAAAATTTGCGTTGTAGCACGATGGTCCCGCAAAAAATACTCACAACACGTTGTTTTACACTCATATTTCAAAATTGTGTTGTGATAATAAGAGAACACAGAGAAAGGGTCAACTTTGAGTTTAATAACACACCGGCAGTAGGAACACACTCCGGTATAACTCGGTGCTCTCATAGCTAATTCGCCTCTAGCCCCCACCACTGCGCATGTGTAGACATGAGTATGGTAGCTGTGATAAGTCACACTAGCAGCACTCTACAATTATGTTATATATTATTCAATAATGTATTGTGTTATGTTGTATATTATGTTAACTTCAATCCGTCCAGATTGGGAAATGACGTGGTAGAAGTCTGTGTGATGAAAAACCAGGGACTAGTTCGAATTTCTAAATGAAAAGTCAAATTAGTGGCGAAACTTCGGCCCATCATGGCCGACTTCCTGTTGGTCCCAGACATGTGCTTAGACCGGCTTTTATGCTCGTCTCATAGAGATCTATCACTCATCCGAATTTCGTGTACCTACTCCAAAATTTGAAAAAAAATCCCCAGAGGGTCCAAAAAAATGAAATTTCTAGGGGGCGTTATAGAGTCGGCGAGCGTCGGACAATCTGGAAACGTTCATTTTATCAAATTTTTCGCCGAACCGGTCGTTTTAGACCCCCCATGTGCAGACTTTCGTGCATGTCTTCAGGGTCAAAAATCGAATTGAAGTTGCGGAAAAAGAAAAAGAATAATAATATGAAACCGGTGAATAACAATAGGCCTCCCCAATACTTCGTATTGGCTCGGCCTAATAATAATATGAAACCGGTGAATAACAATAGGCCTCCCCAATACTTCGTATTGGCTCGGCCTAATAATAATATGAAACCGGTGAATAACAATAGGCCTCCCCAATACTTCGTATTGGCTCGGCCTAATAATAATATGAAACCGGTGAATAACAATAGGCCTCCCCAATACAAAGTATTGGCTCGGCCTAATAATATGAAACCGGTGAATAACAATAGGCCTCCCCAATACTTCGTATTGGCTCGGCCTAAATATCCGCAGTTCCTGTTCGTGCTGTAGTGGCCCACAAACTTTTAACATTCGGTCGACTGAAAAAATACAAAACAGTCACCTCTTTAGACGCATTTCTCTTTCGATCACTCAGAAAAATACACCGAAACCCAGATCTTTTAAAACAGTGCAGGGAAAATACAATAGACAAGAATGGGAGAATTGGTTTTGTCATTGCCAGGTACACAACCATGAAATACAGTTTAGCATCTCCGTTAGATTTCACATTTGCACAAAACCTCAGTCTCTAAATCTGCATGTTCGGAGGAGTCTAAATCGTTTGCCAGAAGGAAAAGCATTTTGAGGTAACCAGATTACAGAAGCATTTTGTCCTCCATCGTGGATCGTTTCTATGAGGTGTCCAGAACAGTTCTATAAATGTTTTATGTTTAATTACTTCCTTATGTCCTTTTTGTAAAGTGTCTTTGAGAGAACAAAAAGCACTATACAAGTATGAGGCATTATCACGATTATTATTATTAAAAGAGAGTTGAGCTCATTTGCAAATCCAATTGAAGAAACTTGTTACTTTTTTGCTTCTCATGGATATTTTTAGTGGTATTTAGTAGATGTTTGCACAAATTAAAAATGTAATTTGTACAATAATAACTGTTTTAAAGACCTTATGCCGGGTTTGATTTATTTAGAAATACAGTTTTAATACCATTTTATATTAGAAGAGAACTACTAAAGGTTTCAAAATCAGTTGTTGTTTTTTTTGTCTGATCCCCCCAAATCGAAATAACCCCATAGCAACGCCCTTAGAGACGAAAAAACTTCACAGCCCTTGGTGACGTCAGAACGGGTACGTTTCAACGCTGTAAGTTGTTTACAATTTGGTATTCGTTCTTTTTTCGCGGATATTCAAGATGACAAGGCCGTGTACAGCGAGTCTAAGATAACTACTAGAATGTATCATTTCGTTGTCAGTGAGATAGTCCAGTGGTTGTGTCGATGGACTGCCAATCCAGATACTGGGGTTCAAATCCCACCTCAGACACTTTCTCACTCTCAAAACGGCAATTTATGTGTAGTGAGCAATTGTCACCTGTAGAGGGCAGTATTGTATTGGGCATCAGTGGAGAGAAGAGAGAAAAGGCAGTCCTGTGGCATAGATCCATGGTTTTCAATGCATGGGCGTTACCCGCTCTGACGTTACACACAGGTTAGAGCATAGACAACTTAAATTCATGAAAAACACGTTCTTTTTATAAAATATAGGATTTTTTTTGCCGGAATCTATTTCAGATCGACATTGTCATGCAATTTTGAGATCCACAATTGTTTTTTTTTAAACCCGGCATAAGGTCTTTAAGTCACTAACTCATTGTCAATGTGCTTGGCCCCAATCACCAGCAAATCGCAAATGAAAATAAGAGGCGGGACTTCCAGTAAAATCTCCCTAAATAGCTTCATGTTTAATTGTGATTGAAGGAGAGGAAAAATACGCCTTTTCAGATGTAGCTTTCTGGTTGTATGGCACTCAACTTATTTTAGAATTTGAAAACTGTTTGCCAAACTAGTAAATCTTAGGACTTTTAATGCGTTGTTCTGGATACTTCATAGAAATGAAAACAACAATGTAGCTGTTTATTCAGCTCTTGTCTATGTGTTTCCTTTCACAATGTTATAATTATTCTATGTTTTAGATTTCTGTTCAAAGCCTGACTTACACTTATATTTTGATAGGAGCCAAAAGTTTTAAAACCAGCCTAATACAAATAAAAAAATGAAACATTGAAAAGTCTTGTTGGTTGATATTTGATGCATTTTGGATCTCACCATGTACGAAGGGAAGATGAGGACTCGCTTATGCTTCCCACAAGGCCACTGCGGATCGTCCAGGAGGTTGGGGTCGTACTCTCGAACATCTCCGAAATCATTCCCTGCAGCGACAGAAAAAGCTTTGCATAATTCACTATTCTCCTCATATTGTTACGTTCTTGTTTTTGTGCCTTAGTTCCGCAGTCAAAGGCCAAGGGACGGCCACGTATTCAATTATTAACATGTTTTTGTTTATATGGGACCTAGTCTTCCAGTTCTCACATCCTTAGATTCTGGTTCTGGTACTGTCTCTTGTGACTCACCGTTCAGTAAGTCACTGCCAGCTCCACAAGTAATAAGTTTTATTGAATGGAAGAGACAGTATGAATCATGTACTCTTAGTGGTCTTGTCATTACAAATACAATTTCACTTTTGTTGCCAGAATCTTCCTGCATGTGGCGCATCTAGCTCCTAAAAATGATTACAGATGTAGACTAGAAACTGTAAAATCTCTGTATAACAATTTATTTTTGTATCTATTTCCATTTACAAATGTGTGCTGCTATTTTTAGTGAACAATAACTCCATCTGAAACATTTGTACAGAACAGGTTAAATGTGATTTGTGCATGTGACCTGTTATCTGGGGACAGGTATAAAAGTTCTATTTAAGAAGTACAAATCATACTGCCCCTTTAAAGGAAGAGTCAAAGTCATATTCAAATGTATTGCTCATCTTTAAAAGCACCTGTAATTGTGCAAGACGCATTTATACATAATGCAAAAATGACCTGCTCCTACCCCGTCCAAAATTTATATTTTATAACTCCAGAATTTTCCATAATTTTTGAGAAAGAGATGCAGACTAATGTGAAGTACTTTTCTAATATTTATAACTTAAAATTTGCAATTGTCATCTTTTGTTTTCTTCTTTCTACTCCCTGTTTGTACCTGTTTATCATTCATATATTGTACGTGCATTGGTATAATGGATGTAAAAGGTTTTTCCAATGTCCAAATGAATACAAAAAGGATTCCATTCATGAATTCTAATTTAAATGTCAATGCCACAGACGTGCACACAATCACAAAAGCTAATGGGGTTTCCAGAACACGTGGCAAACTCTGCTCCGGAAAAGTCAAAAATTGAAGTAACGTTGGTTATTTTGAATCATCAAAATCAGAAAGCATTACATTGTGTTTACTTTCAGGGATAAACCTGTTCGTGTTTTAAGTTTGGGTTCCATCACCATCTGGCCCTAAATGTTTTATCTATTCTCGGTGTTACTCCTGAAGGGAAGAGCTCCAGTTTCAATTATTAACCTGTTTTGGTTCATATCTATAGTCTCAGTTTGTCTTGTTCAGATACTACTACTCGGGACACTATCTGGCAGCCCTCCTCTCTTGTCCATTGATTCTGGCCGCCCGCCCACTATCAACGGAGAGTGTTTAAGATGAAGAGGCACCTGTGTCCACGCTGCTCTGGTTACTGTTGGCGCGGTTCAGGATCAGGCTGCGGTGGCTGGTGTTCCGCGACTGGGAGAAGGAGGCGGTGGAGTCGATGGTGTTCCTCCGGCCTCCTCCCAACACGTTTGTCGGGTACAGGAACTGGGTATAAGACACCGTCTGTGAACCGAGCGAGAGGCAGGGTGAGATACAGAGACGTAAGAACAGTTCAATTACAGATGTGCTGGAAAGATTACACACCCTGCCATAAATGTCCCAGTGTTGTCAAAATTGGGAGATTCTAAATGACACACAAACCTTTTTCTGCTCTACGTTAGTGGTTGTGTGAAGCCATGTCAAATTTGTGAGTGTGAATTTATGTTCAAACTTACACTAAGATTGTACTAAAAAGAGATTGATTGAAAGACACATAACACACAACAATAATAGAAATAATAATAATATACAAATAATAATGATAATGATGTGATTTCTATCTTCAAATTATCGCAGATTTGGAGTTTATTATCAATATCATAATTTACTGGATTTTTATTTTTATTTTTTATAATCTTATGGCGTTTTTAACAAGAATTAGTTTTACCATCAAAGAAGGATGAAGAACCATCCACAACTACCACAAAAGACTACAAGCTGTCATTGATTAAAGAGTCACTATAAATTTGAAAAAATAAAACTTATTTTACACTAACCTCCTGAGACCCGAGCATTTGTCTGGTGTGCATTTTATATATTTTTTTGCTATTTAGGATAAGTAGGACCCAATAAGTTATAATACCTAAATTGTGATTTTGTACAGGAAGTAGTTTTTGAGAAAAAACATGTCCTCGTATGAGGACAGTGGGTCTCTCATAACCTAAAGAGAAAATGTATGATCTTTTAGGCCGGAAGGTCCTAATTAGTTGAAATTCAAAATTTCAGCTTGATCCAATTAGTACTTCTCTCAAAAATCAATGTCCTCACATGAGGACAGTGGGTCGACCTTACTATACAATACAAATAGACTCCATTGGTCTAAAATAGTATATAACAGTTTATTTGAAAAATGTAAACATCAAAGTTAGACATAAAATCCAAACAGCTCTATCTTCAAAGCCTAAAAATGTCATGGTGTGGACATTTTGACCTGGTTGAGTTTGAATCCTGCCTGTCCTGTTGATTGTTGCCCCGCCCTAATGTGATTCACCTGTGTGTCCCTGTGTGTCCCTGTGTGTGTTATATACCCTGTGCCCTTCCTCACTTGTTGTCCGTCCATTGTCTCCACAATGTTTGTCCTGTCTTCAGTTCTGTTTTTACATTACCTTGGATTTATTTTATTAAATTACTTTGATTTTCAGTCCTGCAATTTGGGTTCCCTTTTTCTTCATTCATCCACATGACAAAAAATTGGCTATACATAAATAAAACCGCAAAATACTGTGTAAACTGTCTATTTCAAGCCTTCAATATGGCTGAATTGAATTGATAAATACAATACTAGAACAAATAATGGCAAATATTATTAACAGTCCTAAAACAGTAAAATTCTGCTGAACAGCTTATGAACCGGGGCTTTTTTCAAACTAGCTCCCTCTCTTTTTCTAGAAAGCAATCTGTCTGCCTGTTTGGAAGAGCCCTATTGGCAAGTGTGAAATGCTGCAAAGCAGTTGCATTCACTTTGCAAGCACAGGTACACATTGCATGTCATGCATCGGACACAGGATTTTCCAATGCAGTCTTGTGCTCTGCAACGCATGGGGTTTTTCAAGGCTACCATCTCCGGGTTAGAGTTAGGATTACAATATCCCCAGTCGAGGTCAGCAGCTCTCCACCCGCACCATACACGGTGTTGGCAAAGCACTGCTTCCCCCTCCTGAGGCGCCGGAGGGTTTGCCATAACCTTTTTGAGGGCGACCGATAGTCATGCTCCATGGACTCTCCGAACTCCTCCCAGTGTCGGGTTTTTGCCTCTGCAACAGCCCGGGCCGCGGCACGCTTGGCCTGCCGGTACTGGACAGCTGCCTCCGGAGTCCCACAAACCATCATTGCTCGATAGGACTCCTTCTTCAGCCTGACGGCATCCCTTACTGCCGGTGTCCACCACCGGGTTCGGGGATTGCCGCCGGGACCAGCACCAGAGACCTTGCGACCACAGCTACGAGCCGCTTTATTGGTGATAGAGGAAGAGAACATGGTCCACTCGGACTCAATGTCCCCCTCCTCTGGGTCCTGGGAGAAGCTCTCCCGGAAGTGTGAGTTGAAAGTCCGTCTGACAGGGGGCTCAGCGAGACGTTCCCAGCAGACCCTCACTATACGCTTGGGTCTGCCAGGTCTGACCGGCTTCTTCCCCTGCCAGCGGATCCAACTCACGACCAGGTGATGATCGGTTGACAGCTCCTCCCCTCTCTTTACCCAAGTGTCCGAGACACGCGGTCGAAGGTCAGATGATACGACAACAAAGTCGATCATCAACCTCCGGCCTAGGGTGTCCTGGTGCCACGTGCACTGGTGGACACCCTTGTGCTCGAACATGGTGTTCGTGATGGACAGACCGTGACTGGCACAGAAGTCCAACAACTGAACACCGCTCGGGTTCAGATCAGGGGGGCCGTTCTTCCCGATCACCCCTCTCCAAGTGTCACTGGCATTTCCCACATGGGCGTTGAAGTCCCCCAGGAGAATAACGGAGTCCCCGGGAGGTGCACCGTCCAGTACCCCTCCCAAGGACTCCAAGAAGGCAGGAACTCGGCACTGCCGTTAGGCCCGTAGGCCGTCACAACAATGGGAGACTTGTCCCACCCGGAGGCGGAGGGACGCGACCCTCTCATTCACCGGGGAGAACTCCAACACATGGCGGCTGAGATGGGGGGCAATGAGTATGGCCACCCCAGCTCGCCGCCTCTCCCCGTGGGAAACACCAGAAGATGACTGACAGGTATGAGATGATGATACAATCATCCCCATCTGAGAAGTCCTCTATCTCAGAGTTGTCTGCAATTGCCAACAGCAATTGTTCTGCTCTTGACAATGAAAGTGTGCCTGTAATGATAATGTTAAAAACCAACATCAAAATCTACAGTATATCAGTGACACTTCATAGCTTGGCTATCATGTGCTAGCTATAGCCTAGCTATATTGTTTATGATTTAGAATTTAGCAACACTAAACAATACTTAGCATATACCACTTAGTACTTAAATATACTATTTACAACTGTAAACCACATAACTAAGCAAATGTGTGATTCAAAATAACTATTTACAACTGTAACTTCATCTAAATCTTCCACACGGTTAGCTAAACAGATAGCGGTACATAGTCCTAGCGTCCTCAAACGAGTGCTTCACTTTTACTGACATCCTAGCCTGCTACTACAATCAAAATTTGTCAAATTTCAAACTCCATATGAAGCTAGAGACATTATTGTGCATAAAAAAATTGATTTCATTCATAAAATGTTGATAGAATTTTTACCTGGGGCATTTTTCTTCTGTAAACTCTTGTAGAAGTCTTTTGCTGATATTGCCACCATTTTTTTCCTACTGCCTTAAGTGTAATTCTATCATATCACCACAAGATGGCGCGGGCAGTGTCCCTAAATGTGGCCATCAGGTCAAGGATGTAAAAAATTTAGTATCATTGTGCCAAGAGGCAAAAATGTAATGTCCTCGTATGAGGTCGCAGGGTCTCAGGAGGTTAAACAGCTTCACACGACCACTAACATCGTATGATATCATTCATAATCTCAAAACTTCTCCTCCCCCCTCCCAAAAAAATGTAATCAAAGTCTTCCTGGGTGTGTACTCTTACAAGCACAACTGTAGTTCCTTTTTGGTTCATTATAAAAATGTTTGTGCTCAAGAGTAAATAGCTGATAACGCAGTATATATTCAATACAATGTCTTATTATGTTTTACAGGCTTTCTTGAAACTGTTTTGTAATGCCACTAGGACATTCTTCTTTCAGACTCTATAATCCAGGCAAAACAAATTCACCTTTAGAGCACACATTACGGATTTACAATTTGGCTGTTTTTCAGAACAAAGACATTTATAGCCCATGCTTGATCCTCTTTAAAGTGCACATTTCACATTTTTATACGAGTCCAGGAGTGTTGGCATTTGAGTGATAACTCAATACAAACACGCTCGGTAAGAACATGCTAACGGTATATTTTGCTAACAGTAAATCCTGCTAACAGTACATCATGCTTTCATCCTGCGTCACCTTTCCGTCAGCTCCCAGCTCCACGCCCTCCAGTCCGATCACCATCTCTTTGGCACTGACTCCTCCGGACGGGTGCCTCTGCCTGCCCCCCTCCAGCCTCACGTCCCTGATGATGATGACGACCAAGGCACAGGCGTTTATAACAAGCAGCAGCACAAGTTCTTTATTACCTCTTCAATTACCCCCGTATCGATCTTCCCTCATCAGCAGCTGGGCCCACAAACTAGTCTGAGCTCAGGCCGACTTGGACAGAACAGCCCCCAGGAGTGATGGGGGTCTACATGAGGTTATTCTCTTGTTTTCTTTGTTGTCTCACTGGGAGATTAAATGCTGCTATGGTAGAAGTGGGGAAAAAAAGATCTATTCTGTTCAGTCTCGCCATAGTTAATAAAATAATTATCTGTTTCAGTTTTGTGTTTTCTCTGAGTTTACTCCGGTAATTTACTAAGGCTTATGTTACTCTATTTACGTCTGCTTTTTGTTACTTTGGTCCAGGGGTCTCCAACTTGTAGCTCGGGAGTTTCTAGATATGAACAAATCAAATAATATACTGAATTGTAATATTCATTATCATTATGTATTATTGTAAATGCATTTACTTTATGCACTAGTAACAAATATGCAACGATAAATATTGACTGTACCCAGTATAGTTAGTAAGTAAGTAAGTGATATTTATTTATGTATCAGGCTTTTTCACACCAATATATCATCAATTTTACTACTCTTAAAGGAGTAGCTCTCTGCCTTTATCGTCCTGGGAATGTAGCTCTTGGTGAAAAAGGTTGGAGACACCTGCTCTAGTCTATTGTAGTTGAATAGTTTAAGTTAAGTTTCAGGGTTAGGGTTAGCTCACTATTTATGTGAGATAATTATGTCCCATTTTTGTCAATTCCCATATAGTATATATAAGTATATTGACTGCAAACATGCGTCAATGGAGTGGTGAATTTACATATGTTACGTGATTTCACAATATGTTTGCGGTTTACTGTAAATTGAATGCATATTTAAAACAGAAAATCAGATACTTATGATTCTAGCCGGCCACTTTGGGGGAAAATCTAAGTTTTGATTCATGGCTCATGCTATAACTAAAGAAATTCATTATCGTCGCTGCGAGACTTTGTCATAAAAGATTGTGGCCAGTGTCAGTAAAAGCCAAAACTGATTATATGCAGTGACAAGAGTGATATTGTGTGAGTCGGCAATTCTCTTCACACGCTGTCTGAACAATAACACGATGACAGAGCCAGAGAATCAAGATCTGATCTGGGGAATAACTTTATTTGAAGTTTATACATTTTTGTTTTGATTTGTCGTGGAATAGTGTTGTTGGAATGGATATCTATCTTTCTTTCAATTTGCATTTCAATTTTAAACAGCCTTAAAGCTGGGGAACCTAACTTTTTTTGTTTCATATATAACTCTAAAGACAGAGTAAAGTGAACAAATTAAACACGCTGCCTTCATCTTAGAAAACATGTCATCGTTTGCACACTTTGAGAGTCACTGACGCTGAGAGCTGATTGGCTGAGCGAGGGTGGTCCTTTCTTTTTCTCTTTTGTGTATGAAAAAAAAAGCAGATCTAAAGATGGGACAGAGGCCAAAACACACGTACATGTGACAACTAGTGATAGACCTGTTCCTGAGCGAGGAACTAGAGAGATTCATTTTTTTGGCTTACTATCGCCTGTGGTTTGAAAATTAGGTACCCCAGCTTTATCTCATACCATGCATTCCAACATTTTAGTCTGCTCAAAAGTGCAAGGGGAATTTATAATTATTTTTTTTACCAAACTCAATGGGATATTTCTCATTAGCTTAATAGTTTGGAGTGAATAAGTTCCGTTAGTGACTTGTTAGTTTGAATAATCTCATGGCCATGTTCTTTTTCTCTTATCTCGCGCAGCCCATTCAGTATTCACCGCTGCCTGTTGCCAGATAATAAAAGGCTGGCTGTATTTTGACCAGGGCTCTAGACGTGTCATAACGCACAACGCTGTTATCTGTGCGGCAGGTGATGGATCATAATATTGACATATGAACCAGGGATAAATAGCTAAAAGTTCAAAAACGCAGACACAACCACAGAGATGAATAAAAATGAGGAATGAGGGGATTTTGAGGAAAGAAAAGCACGATCAAAGAGGCGAGTCGTCTGAGGAAAATTGGGTTATAGGAATAAAAAAGAAGCAACAAGTGTCATGCTGCGTGACATGCACAAGTGGAGCTTACGGCTGGGGAGATATTCTGATGCATTTGATACAAGCCATCGAGCAAGACAAGCGTAAAAGGCTAAACTAAAAGGCTTCACATTATGTCTCAAGTTCACAATTAGCAAGACAATAAATCATCATATAAGCTTTCAGATCAAGCTGTGTTAGCAAGGCACGTCACGCTAATGCACCATCGATGTCAAATCAAAAAATATTGCATGTATTAGCGCTCCAAAGAGAGTCCTTTATGTTCTGTCAAAAGCACTAATCATGCACTGACCACCTAATGGGGAGCTTAAATAAACTTAACACGACTAAACTAAATGATGATTAAGGCTTATAAGGTTTTCATAATAACAAAAAGAGAGTAAAGAAGCTAGTGCTGCTGAATTAAAGACGTCCATTGTCTCCATTGAGATGTGATTGCTACATCCACACTCTTCAAGAGGATTTGACAAAAGCGGGCCAAGTTACAGACAGTGGTGCCAAACTTTTTCTTGTTTATCTCAACAGAAAGAGTCTTTTTTAATTTTGAGGAAAATAATCAGATGCTGCCTTTGTCTTATTAGAAAACATGTTCTTTTACATACTTCAAGCTGATTGGCTGAGAAAAAAAAGCTGATCAGAAGCTGAATATCCGTACATGTGAAAACTAGGGAATCAAAGTTAAATCAAAGGTTTCACTGTTGCTGCAATTATTATCATTATTATTATTTTAATTAGTCAATAAAAAAACTACTCTGTTTAAACTGGGCACAATGAATCAAGTTCAGTAAGTGTTGATCTTGATTAAAGTATCTATCTGTTTACAGACAGTAACTGTTTATATTTAACTTTTGTTTTATCACTAAGTTTTTTTTTCTATTTGATGCCATGTGGTTTCAAAGCAAGGCATTCCTGCTTTAAGTATTATTGCAAAATACAGATTATACACATTACAAACAGCAGTATTATCTGTTCTGCACCAACAGGACAGATCAACTATAGTCGAGTGAATAGATGGAAAAAGATAGTTTTGTCCAAAGTTGAATCAGACCTAAATGACTCAGCTGTCAAAAGTACCCGCCATAAACAGCCGTTCATGTTATCAGACCGCGGGGGGTAGTTACCCTTTGATCTGCGCTGACCGCCTGCTTTATGGCATTCCAGTGCCGGACCAGCGCTGGGCTTTCTTATTGTACCGCCTGCTTTCTGTGTGTCCCCTTTCTTTGTGTCTTACTCCGCCACACTTTCACACTTTGTGGACACTGCTTTTATTCAGTTTTTGTTTATGGAAAACCAGGTGGAGTAATAAACAACTTATATGCCAAAGCTAAAGCCAAAGCAACAATAAAATGGTTAATAGCAAAACTTTATGACAACAAAAAGCCCCAAAGACAGACCAGCAAGTCACAGAATAACTATACGAGCTTAAACATGCATAGTAGACTTTTGAAACGTGGCTGCAGGAGTTATACAATCTGTAATACCAGGGCAAAAAATGGAATAGGAGATTAGTTCTATAAAACAGGCATATTTGAAATAAATAATTACAGCACTAGGTTGTGACATTATTCCAAAAAGCCCATCGTTTTGGTGTCCAATAACTGGGGTAAGTTCAATTAAATGTATTTTTGTATAGCCCTGAATCGTCTCAGAGAACTTTGTTGTTGATTTACCAACAACAGATCAGAGAATCAAACAGTTCAAACACAGGAAATGTTAACTGTCATGAAGTGTCACTTTGTCGGTACATACCAACTAGGGTCTGACTATTTTCTCTTAAAGAAGTAAAAAAGAACTTTACAACAGGAACACAACCTATTAACAAGCAAAGACGTATGGCATGCATTTGTTTTTGTCTTTTGTCTTTGTGGCATGGTTTATTCATTCTACACCATCATTGTAACATACAGACTACGATTCAAAAATCCTTCTGTTTGTTTAAACGTATCACAGTATTGCAAAGCTACGTCCATGTTTCTGCTTATTCTCCATGTGGAGGTGTATTTGGCTAGCAGCAATTGCAGATAATCCATGCAGTGCCTATAAATAACTCTTACAGCCACAGTGCAAAAATCTAAACTCGCTGTTTAACACACATTGAAGCCGAGAGGGAGAGAAGATCGACAGAACAGATCGTCCAAAGTTACGGAAGCAACAGCAGTCTAGCTATTGCCTACAAAGTCCAGTTTATCCATTATGCAGAAGATATGAGTAAAAATGCATCCGCCAAAACCAGACCTGAAGAAGAACAGGCACCAGAGGAGTCTATAGAGAGTGTGCACGAGCATAATATGACTGGTTTGAACTGAGTGGCAAAAATACATTATTTACATGCCTTTTATTCCTTAAAAGTGTATGTTTTCTTAGTAACTATCAGTGCATAGCTTTTCCTTCTTCCCTACATCCTTTATTGTTTGTTGTGACCATATGTGACTCTAATCATACTTTATCATTCAATTCTGTCCTCTGCATTGGATCCATTCTTTCCTATAGGTTGTGTACGCAGGAGCAGTGGTCTCTAAGCTCCAGATGTTGATGGTCAGCTTGGCCAGGTCTATCAGAGCTGGTGTGATTTACTGTTTTTAGTGGAATGGGAACCTGGAGCAGACAAGGAAAGAACGAGAAAACTCCATCCAGAGAAGCGAGAGTGCTAACCACTCAGCCACCGTGCACTGCTAGTTCAGTGATGAAAAGTAGTGTGTTCCATTGTGATTGATCTCAATAACTCTGTATTGCCTGCAGGGTCTGAGCGGTTAGTATGAAATGCTACATTCCTTTTGACTACACCACAAACCTGCAGTCAAAAAAATGTATTAGTCCCACTTTAGTTTACAGCTCAGTAGAAGTCTGTAACAGGATGGAGAATAGAATGATAGCTTTGATAGTAAACACAATTCTTCTACTGCTTGTTGTTGTTGTTGTTAAATTACAGAGAAAATATTGGATTTTTTTAAACAAGTAAGACAGTACAATGAAGTAGAATATTTGAAGTGAGAGCTGATTGGCTGAGTGCGAGGGGTCCTTTTTACTGTCTGGAAAAGCACATCTAAAGCTGGGACAGACACCAAAAAGAACATACGTGAAAACTGGTGATAGAACCAAACTGATTTGAGACTGAGGAACTAGTGAGACGGGTTAGGGTTATGTGTGCATTGTTGTGTGTTTGTGGTTAGAAGAATCAGTAATCCAGCTTTAATTATGCTACACGCTGGTATATCATGGATTTGGTTAAGTGCTATCAGACGTTATCTCCCTTTCCTAATATTTGAGGCTTTTGAGGATTCCTTTGCCACTGGCTGCGGTGAGGTGCACACCCTCTATAGAGGAGTTACAGAAGTTACACGGACAGAAGAGGAGGGGCCGGCATGCTGGTCATACATACCCTGCTTGGCTACAATCTCGATAGGGCAGCACTGAAAATACACTATAGAAGGATCTTCTGCCACTGACAAGGACTATCCTATGAAAAACAAAAAACTCAAAATCAATGATCCATGGCTCCGGCTGGAGAAAAGAGAGATGAAAAAACAGCCTGGTGTGTAGTGTAGAGTTTGCGGTTTGGGGAAAAAACTTTGATGCATTTTTGGATGATCTTGTTTTGTTTGCTGTATTGTGAATTGATCTGGGAATTGTCCAAATGTTTTTTTTCTCCACAAATGAACCATGTTGACCTGAAATAACAACAAAAAACCCCTGACAGATGAATAAAACCAGAGAGAACACAGAGCAATCTCATCAAACGCCGAGCATAACAAAGCAATTGGCCTCGACGCCAGTTTTAATGTGGAAAATCAAGCTCATTTTAGAGCCAGATCTAAAGGCCAGTCGGAGGCACACATTACTGCTCTCAGATGACCTAATTCAATTGGTCAGACTAATTACAACAGTCAAAATACACTGAACATGTATCAAGGGTTCATACAGGGATACTCTGTCCCCAAAATATACTGTTTAATAATTTAAAAGAGTGAAACGAATGTTAGACTGAATATGCAGACTCTCTCTGCACGCTGGAGTGAAGACATCATTTCTTGCGGTGAGGATTTGGCAAAATAGAGAACATATTTTGATGTTGCAATTCCACGCAAAAAGCCTAAGATAATTACATGACAGTAAGACAGTGTCGTGACCAAAGTAGCTCTGATAGTAATGTTGATGAAAAAGCAAAAATATCTCAATCTAAACAAATATTGGACAATTTATGTATTCTGTGTCATGTCGGCAATATACTGTACATTTGAGGTTACAGTATGTACAGAGGCTACAAGTAACATACAATCCCACTCTCACTAATCTAATCGATCAATGGAGATTTTTGGACAAGGTTTCATGAATTATACTTCACATTCATTATTGTATTGAGACCATAGAGTGAGAACTGACTTCATCTGCAGTGATCCAGCAGCTTATCGGATTATTCCACTGCTCATTTATTTACCCTTTCACACCGAGTACGTTTACAAAGCTTTAGTGAAAACCGGATCCATCGCCTACTCCAATCTAATTATGTAAAGCATTTAAACCCAGTTCTCTCTGATTAAGGGGAGTACCTGGATCCATTTAAGAGCAGAGTGAAAAGCCACACTTGTATGTATTTGGAGGCATAGAGGCTTTTATCGTTCACCCATTCTGGTCCCTCCCTGGGTTTTCATAATCTGTTTCATTGTTTTGTTTTGATTTTATTAGGTGAGGAAAAAAGCAGGAAACATGGTGCGTTTAATTGCGCTGCGGGAATGAAATGACTTGTACCGCTACAGTTAAACATGAAAAATGCTCAAAGTAAACAAGATATCGTGTGGTTACATCTGCTAAAACACTGTATATATATATTTATTAGGGGTTGTCAAATTGGTTCCAGAAAGGGTGTGTGTGCCTGCAGGTTTTCGTTCCAAATCATGCCGGAGCACACCAGGCTCCACCCACCGAGTCTGGTGTGCTCCTGAATGATTTGAAAGAAAACTTGAAGTCACATTTTTGCTATATATGACAACAAATGAATTTATAATTATAGTTCCAAAGTTCAAGTGCAAAGGCAATATTACGAGACGCCCCTGAAAGCATCACAAGGCTCTAACTTCTCAGTGGGGCGCATTGAGACGGAACCTGAAAGTGGTCGGACCAGTTTGACTATATAGGTTGTTATCCCGGGTGCTGATTGGGCAGAAGCCGAGGCAGTCCTCCAACCACGCGCGTTTAGCTGTAGGACCCGCCCATATAACTTGCCAATCTCCCTTTGCTCGCGGCAGCCAGTTTAGTTTAGTGACTCGATTTTAGTTCTGTTAGTGGCTTACTTAATTTTATAGGTTTTTCATTTGTGTTGTTGTAAATATTATATACTTATTTTGTGATCTTTTTATACATTTCACCACTTAAAGATGCAGTCAGTGATTTTTTCCAGACACATTTTTTAAATATTGTGGAAAAATGTCCCTAACCCCTAAAAGTAGTCAAGTTATCATGTGTTTTCAAATAGTAATGGAATGGACCAGATGTCTACAGTCTCCAAAAATTAATACAAATTATTTTGGAGCGGACTGATAAAAATAAACCAATGGGTTGGGATGTGTTAACCCTCCTTCACCCTCTTCCTATTTCTAGCAAGTGCGCCCATTGGATTTTCTAAAACCTAGAAGGGCTGAACAGAAAATTTCATGTTTGCCACCCACTCTCCCTGTTGTGACAAAGAAAAGAAAATGCTGGATGTTTGGTTTGGTGGAGAGGCGAGGGGAGGGGAGAGTGGTTTCCAGTTGGTGCTACGGCTAAGCTAACAAAATCGCTTACTGCACCTTTAAATAAATTGTGATTTTAGTTATAATTTCAACATCATGGTTTCAACTATTATTTTGGGTTGTAAAATGGGTGGATAGGATCTTCTTTTTTTACGTACTCCGCTTTCTTGCTTTGTAAACATACTCAAGTGGTTTTCTAGTATTTCCTTTGATTTTATCTGAGAACAATCTTGCTGCAAAATAAAGCTCTATTGTCGAGTCTCTTCTTCAGTATGACAGGGCACTCCTCTGGGACCACAGGGCTCTTGGACGACGTGAAAACTACAGTGGGATTTTGTGAACATGGGGTTTTGTGTGAGGATCAAACAAAACAAAAAACATTCAAATAAAACGTGAAGGTGTGAATTAATCGGGTCAGTGCTTGAGACAGGAGAAACCTTTAAACAGGAGGACTCCATTGACCGTCGCACACAGCTCTGTATTATTGAGCGTGGGGCAGAGGGAGTTTTGTACCTTCCATTGCGAGTATCGTGTTGCCTCATGTTCTTAATGAAGTGCACCTTCTTGAAGCTCTTTGGCCGCGGAGAGCCGGACAGAGTGCGGCATCTGCAAACAAAACAATTCAACTGGTTATTATCGATCAACAAAACCGTATGATGTGAGAGTTGCAATTATTGTGAGAAAAAAATTTGAAGTTAATGCAAGCTTAGCATTATTTGGCACCGTGACCGAAGTACATTTTCATTATCCAAGTGTTGGCTTCCTCCAGTAGATAGACAGAAATATAGATAGATATTAATTGTTTCCAGGTTTCTAATGGATTAGGTATATGGCCTTCAATAGTTTTATTAGTCAGTAATCTGTATTTATAGAGGGCCTTTCAAAGACCAGAGTCATTTAGCGCTTTTCAATTATGTAAATCTCAGTATTTTGTATTTACTTGAATGAATTAATGAATGTTTATTTTTGGTCAGTTGTTTGGTTAAAAAAACATATCACATTCACTGACTCCTTGGGTTTGATTGGGTTGTTATGTTTTTCCCATAAAGTTTGGGCCGTTTCTTTTGTCTTCCCTTACGTTAAGTCCTATTGCTAGGTTCCCTGTTTCATTTACTATATTTTCTTTGTGAATAAATTGACTTTTGGAGCACTACACTCTGCTGTTTGTCCTGCTGTTGGGAAGAATCCAGTTCCAGCTCTGCATCAAGGCGATGTAAAAAGGCAGATGAAAAGCATGAAGCAGAGGATCAACATAATAAGCTAAAAGAACCGATATGCTATGAATGTGAAAAGGAACCAGATGAATGTTGAATGTTGAAATTAAAAAAATGTTTTGGAGCATGTGGAACATTTCTCAGTTCTTAAGTTATTAAAGCATCAATGTTTTGAGTTTTACATATTGTATGAAGAAGAAATTAATTCATCTCGCCATGTTTATTTTAAATTTGCAGGTTAAACTTGTCAAATTGGAAAATCCTTCAAAAGTCCATTTACTTTATGAGTCTTTATCATGTATTGGTTTCACATTTTTGGTTGAATTACAGATGTTTTTTTAAAGGGGAATCTAATAGTGAGAGTTCCAGCTGTGAGCTAGGTCCAAACACGTGGTCTTTCAGGGCTTAAGACAAAAGGTCTTGTACCTGCGTAAAGGAGCATTCTCCTCAATGTCCTCAAGTGTTTCAAGAGACGAGCGCTGTGAGATGAGTCTTCGTCTGCAAAAAAATACCAGACAATTTGGATTTTACTGTTTTGGCTGCACTTTTGTCAGCGTACTCTCATCAAATAGGCTGGAAAAACAAAAAAACAAAACTGACAGTAAAGAAGAGACACCTGTGGAGAACAGAGAATGAGGAACAATTATAATTGAATATAATTGCCAGATGTTTTGACTGAAACATCAGATTAAAAAACAAATAAACCAGATGAGATGTGATCAATTATAAGGTAATCAATGCTTGAATAAATGTATGCTTTCAAATCTTGGTTTGACTGCTTTAAATAAGATTGGCCAATGGGACGAGCAAAGATTTCTTACTTTTTTGCTGTTTTTGGGCATTTTGCTTGTCTCTTAAGTGAAATAAGACTTTTAATATTCGTGATGGTAAGTTTGTTTTAAGCGTTTGACCCATCCTCTCCACATGTTGATGCTCGGCTTGGTCAGAACCAGAGCTGGAGGATGTTAGATATTGTGCATGTTTTTAGTGGAGGAAACCTACACAGACACAAGGAGAACTCAGAATGGCTCTGCTCAGACACTGTTCCGCCCTTAAAAAATAAGACATTTTTGCTTGTTCCATTGTCAAATTTTGTAATAAGACAAAAGACATTTAATGAAAGAGCGAGAGCAGAGACTGGGAGTGCATCTGGGAATGAAGAGAGATATCATACCTAAGTGTGGGAAATAAGTGAAGGCTTATAAAAGAAGGTCTGGAGACATTAAAAGTCCTTTCACGACACGGCTGCCTCTAAAGTGAACCTAATTCAAGCATTTTTTTGACAGTTTTTGCAGCGTAATCACTTCAAAATAATAAATGGAAAGCTTATATATGAAACGATATAACAAAAAGTGCTGGAGTGAGGGAAGCAAAAATCTATGCGGTCACTTTTGAAACAGAAGTCATGGCGCCGCAGTGTGTGTGGTACTTTTCTCAGTTTAGGAGAAAGGGAAAAGATCAATACAATACATCGATTATGCTTTGGAGAAACCAAATATATTTTTATGACACACAACAAATAGAAATGAAAAATGGCACAAGTCAATAAGTTAAAAAGCCAAAACAATTCATAAAGAGTTCCTTATTTCAGAAGCTTTGGGGAACGGCAACAACACATTCACATTCTCGGATTGTTGCTATGACAACCCTGCGCTTGATGCATGCCCATGCAACCGAAACATCACAACGTAACAATTATTCAGGATAAACAATATGTGCTCATACATACACTTATATAGATATAACTGTGACCGCAAATAACAACCAAGGAACTATACCAACATATCAACTTATATATAAATTATTCAGTTTGTTTGGCTCATAGATGAAAAAGTCCAGAGATATGTGCTGAATGTGCATAGAGAGAAAATAAAGTCAGTGCTACACATGTTTAAAACAACACTATCCTTTTAGCATATTTTACGTCTCTGTGTGGGAGGTGATGGATCCAAACCTCGCAGTATTTCCCAGGACCAAACGCCTTTTGCAGGTTTATAACAGCAGCTACATAGAGGCTGGTCGTGCTTTTCGCGTGACACATTTTGGTCCCAGATTTCACACTTTTTGCAACAGGCTAATTGTATGGGAGCACTCAGATCCACAGATGGGATGCCCCGGTTTAGAAACAGGGACATGTGTGAAAGCAAACTGGGCCAGAGAACTTTATGAACTGGATCACTACTACTGACCACTTTTAACTCCAAATGTATTTTCTTTTGACGGCTTGAACTAAAGACAGATGTGTTGGTTACGAGTCATTTCACTACATGTTATTTAATCGTGTTGTTAGCATTGTCTTTTATCTATTATTGTCTAAAAGGACTGAAATAAATACAAATATCTAATAAAACTTATCAGACATATTTCACAACCAAGGGAGCTCTGGGGGTGTGAAATTAGATAGTATTGCAATTTGAGGCTGGTTGTTTTTAAAGGTATTTGACATCAATACAAATAAAACCATTAAAAAATATTACTTTTATATGTCATTTATGAACTGTTTGTTTAATTGTTAAGAGCAGATTTGTATATTTTAGGAAAGGTATGAGTCATATTTAAAAAAACAGGCTATTACTGTACAGACTTCTTATCTGCGACAGTTTCACATAAGTAATCATACAAATGAACCAGTTTCACAACGCGACAAAATTGTAATGGAATTCTAATATATTATGGTGTTTTTTTCTTACATCTCAAGTTGCCAGGGTCCTATTTTAAGGAGTAAATCATATTGAATGCAAGAGTGAGTTTTTGGTTTTGAGGGTCTTTATATACATACATATAGTAAGTCATATACACTACAGTTGAATGAATAACTTTTATACCTTAATGTTACTGGCCGCTAGTACAGTGAGTAATTATGTGTGTATTTATGTGTTACCGAGCACAAAAGACTGTGGCTTATTTCACAACGTCACATATTTTGTAATGCAATGGGAAAAGAACAGCAGATGCCCCCCCCCTCCCTCCTCCTCCTTCTCCTCCTCTCTTTCTCAACAGGAAAACTGTGCACAAAGCCAATAAATAGAAGCATGCTGAGCGTACATGCAGCAGGATGAATGAACAAGAAAAGCCCAAAGCACGCAGACAAAGCTAAGTCTGAGGATAAGAGCAGCTCATGACAAAAGCGCAGTGAAAATAAACCATATTCGTACTGTGTGAACCACGCATGAAGAATCTGCTAAATCTGTCGTAATAATAAAATGCAGTCAGATTTGTTCACATGTGACGAGAGCGAGCACCAATAGAATCGAACACTTTCAACACTAACGGTGAGGGTGAGACGAACCCTGCTTGGTCTTAATAATGTGTGATACAAGTGTAAATCATTATAAATATAGAAATGTGATTTAGATTCTGGGATGATTAAAGGGCCCGTATGTAAGTTACATCTAAATTGTGTCCCCAGATAACAGGTCAACTTGTACAAATCATGTTTGTATGATTTTCAGCAGAATGAGGCTGTCATTTGGGTTGACAGTTTGTTAGATGAAATGTAGCTGATCTAGGCTCCATCTTTTTTTAATTTTTTTTATTTCACAAACAACAAAAAGTCCCACACTTTTGTAATACTGTCAAATACACATGTTGTTAAAACTTGTTATGAGCTTCGTGTGACTCGATGTCTCTGTCAGCTTTTCTATCTTCATCTTTGCCTATGCAGTGGTCTAATGTGCCTGGGGGGAATCCTGTGGTTATTAATTCTTTAAAAATATACGGTCAATTTCGGAGGCATCATAATTTGTCAAAAGTCTGTCTTTTTAGCCCTATTTTAAAAAATCCTTTTTTCCAGCCTTCAATGCATGACAACATATTTAGAATTTGGAACAATAAGGGACTTAAATGTTTAGGTGACTTTTTTTTTCAGGGGGAATTTGCATCATTTGAGCAATTAACCCGGAAATTTGGTCTTCCACCGTCTCATTTTTTTAGATATCTGCAACTTAGGCATTATGTTAAAGATGCAATTCCAACTTTCCCTCATAAGCCACCAAATAGTCTTCTCGAAAATCTTTTTACCTGTTCATTGAAGAAGAAAGGAGCAATTTCATCAATCATTAAAATGTTGGGCATGTCATCTTCTCCCTCTGGTTCTAAAATTCAGAAGTTATGGGGGGAAGACCTCCAGATGACTATAGATGATGATTTATGGGCTAGGATTTTAAAGCAAGTTCATTCTTCCTCTATGTGTGCCCGTCACTCCCTGATTCAATTTAAGATTGTGCATCGTGTGCATTTGTCTAAATCTAAATTGGCAAAAATGTTTCCTCAAACAGATCCTTTTTGTGATAGATGCAAAATTAGCGAGGCTACACTGCTCCATATGTTTTGGTCTTGTGTTAACCTTGAGGTATATTGGAGAGGTATCTTTGAGGCTTTGTCTACAGTTTTAGAGGTCCGAATTACTCCAGACCCTTTAATAGCCTTATTTGGAATCATACCTGATGGGCTTCAGCTCCCAGCTGAGGGCTACAAGGTGGTTGCTTTTAGTACTCTATTGGCTCGCCGCCTCATTCTTTTAAAGTGGAAGGATCCTATGCCGCCTTCTGTGACACATTGGATTTGGGACGTCATTTCTAATCTCAGACTGGAAAAAATAAGATATGCAATTTGTGGTTCTGAGAAAAAGTTTGTTAATATATGGAAACTAGGGATGTAAAAAACTATGCATTTTCATGACCGACCACCGAGCCTCATTAACCGGTTGAAATTAATAGTTACTTAATGTAACTTAAGTTCTACGAATAGGTGCGTAGTCCCTTAGGACTTCGCTAGTGGGATATCACTCGTGACCCCCAGGTCACACGCCAGAGAGATCAAAATAATTTGCTCCAATCACCAGCCACCTTCCTCTATAAATGCCCCTGCACAAGGCCGCACCCCCTCTTGAACTCTGCCAAGCCGGGCTGGCCTGATGGGCTCGTAGCTAAGGGACTACGCACCTATTCGTAGAACTTAAGTTACATTAAGTAACTATTAATTCTACGTCATGGTGCTACGTCCCTTAGGACTTCGCTAGTGGGACACAACGCGGAGGCCGTAGGAAAATGTACTCCCAGCAGGCCAGCGAAGGGTGATTGGAGCTCCGCCCGAGCAAGACCCTCACAACGTGAGAGGACTCAGGGCAGAAGAAACAATCGTGTTACGGGGCCACTCCTACCAAGGATACCCCCACGTAACACAAGCCGTAGGTCATCCGTAGTCACAGGACGCCTCTCCCAAGAGCTCCTGACGTGGACTACCAGACCGACCACACACACAAAATGTACCGCACCTGTAGGATGCCTCTCCCAAGAGCTCCTGCACCAGGGCGGAAATAGACCGAAGGCCCCCTCAGGGGAGGGACCCAACGGTCTAACTCAGTCCGCTGCACTCAGCACGGAATGGGCCACCGACCGGTCCGACACATCCGAAAGATAAGACCGGACGAAAGAGGAGGACGACGCCCAAGAAGCCGCACGGCAAACGTCCTCGACCGACGCCCCCCTGAGAAGGGCCGTAGAGGCCGCCATCCCACGCGTGGAATGCGACCTGAAACCCACCGGGGGGGCCAGACCCTGCGTCTGATACGCCCGCCGCACAGCCGTGGCGACCCAATGCGCCAGCCGCTGAGCCGACAGCGGGGCGCCCCTGTTCTTGGGGCCCAGACACACAAACAGCTGATCACCCGACCTGAATGACGACGTCATGGTCAGGTAATGCCTCAGCATTCTGATAGGACACAGAAGGTGCTGCCGCTCCTCCTCGGGGGAGGCATGCGGCGGCGGATGGAAAGCCCTAATCCTGATGACTCTCGACCTAAAGGCCGACGTGATGACCTTGGGGAGAAAAGCCGGATTGGGCCACAATTTGGGCGTTCTGCTCTCCCAAAATTCCATCCGATGGGCGGGGGAGCGACTGAATTTTGCGTTGCATTATGGGTAACACTTGCCTTCGCAACTTCCGGTTCTTTCTGCCCGGCGCATTTTCTCTAAATGGTTGAGTGTTTTCGTCATTTTACATTATGCAAATACATTCCCGTCTCTAACTAGTGGCATATCGCGCAAATCATCCGTCCAATTCACATTCTTCCCTCTTAGCTGAACTTCATTCTCATTGTTACCATCTGTCACTCGCACACACAGCCGTTTTCGTTCACTCTGCTCGCTGTCATCTTCTTCTAAATCTTCATAAACACCATCCGCTCGTTGAACTAGCAACAACAATTCCTCCTTTCGTTTTCCCACACTGCAAATACCCTTTCGCTTCAACCTTTCACGCAATTCAGCTCCTGCGCGCCCCCCGCAGAAAACGGGGAAAATGTCCAGGGTTCATGTTAAGGTTTTATTTTGTTTTATTATATGTGCATTTATAAGCAGAACTGCTATTGTGATTTGAACCAAATGTTCATATAAAAGTGTTGTGCAGAGAGAGCAGGATGTGAAAGTGTGTGCAGAGAGAACAGGATGTCAGTTGCAACAGTTCCCTGTCTGATAAGACCAACGGAAAGTTTGAAGATGCTTGCACGTTGGGTTGGGGGCGTCACTAAGACGCACCAACTGCACCAATAAACTTAGCAATCATGACTATATATGGTATTGTGAAAATGTAACCACACCTACTTTGCTTGTCAAATAAAAGCTGTGATGCGGAAAAGAGCCTTCGGGAGACATTACTCTGCTGGAGAGATCTCTGTTTGAGAGATTACTCTGCCTGCAGTCTAATGGCTTGAAGTGTCTTCCCCCGTGATCACGTTGAACCTTGTAACTACAGTGTCCTTCTTTGAGCTATCTGTAGGAACAGGAGTTGGCCTCTAGAGGTGAAACCAGTTTCTGGACTTTTGGTCTGTTTTGGTTTTTGGTCTCTGATATGTCATTCACTACGCTCGGTGCCTGGTGATAATTTCCTGACATAAATTGGTCCTTCGAGCCGGATTCAGGACTCGGACGTGGAGGGCGACGACGAGAGATTGGACAAGAGCCTGGCCAGGCCCGGATAACACCGGAAAACCCACTTTTCCACGTGGCAACCTCTCTTCATCGTCCTCTGCACTGAGGACTGAATCGGTCCCAGCGTAAGACCAACCATCAGCCGAAAAGGTCAGAAACTTCTCTTATGTTAGAGCGAAAGATCAGACTTAGCTGTGGACCAGGTTTATTGGTGCGAGTGTGCTTTGTTTGAGTGGTGAATGTTCACACGTTGTGAAGAATCACATGAGCGATCCTTTATACTCAAGACAGAGTGTAATTGACCGTAAGACCCAAGACAGGGCAGAAGTCACTCAAGACAGAGTGCAACGGACCGTAACTGTTGACCCAAGACAGGGGAAACAGTGACTCAAGACAGAGTCGGACCAAGACCCAAGACAGGGTAGAAGTCACTCAAGACAGAGTGCAACGGACCGTAACTGAGACTCAAGACAGAGTCGGTCCGTGGTTGGAACCCAGGACAGGGAAAACAACCATGAGGAAGAACAGTAATGGAAAGAAAGAGAAGCCTCCGGTCTGCGACTCGGACTCCAGCGAGAACGAGGAAGAGACCGGAAGAAAGAGAGTTACGTTAGCAGTAGTAAAAACAAAGTCAAAAGAGAAGAGTCAGAAATCTAGGAAGGAGATTCCTAATCCACTTGCTCTGGACGCAGAGCAGTGGATGAGGGAATGTTTCCCCCATTCAGTGCAGTTCATAAAGAAATGGCAAAAACGATATGAATGGTGGCAACCCACATTCGAAATTGACCAAATTGGAAAATTGTTACAGAATTTGACTCTAAAAGATGCACTGAAACAAAAAGGGAAAGATTATGCAGGAAAACAAACCCTTGCAGCCAGAAATTGGATGTATTCTGCTAAAGCCCTGCATAATCGATATAACAAATATTTAAAGGATCAGAAGAAGGGGAAAGCATTTTTGCTAAAACACTACTTTCTGCCTGTGTGTGTGCGCGTCTGTGTGAAAGGAACCCCCCCCCGCCCTCGCTGCTGCTGAGCTGCCGCTCTGACTTAAAGGGGAGCTACTGATTTTAGGATTTTGGCTTTTCATAGTTGTTTTTCCGTTAAATTTGGGAAATTTGCCATTTGAACATTGTGTTATGACGTTTTTAAACACCATTAGTGAATAAGTTTTGAAAATTATATGTTTTTTGAAACCCAAATATTAGTGCTAAAGCTTTGCTTTTCTTTTTAAATCTGCTGCTTATTTCTTAACTTTTTGTGAGTTGTGTTTGTTTTTATGTTTTTATTTTAGTTACAAAAGCCGTTTTTCAAACATTTAAATTAGAATCTGTGTTAAAAGTGATTATTGATTGTAGACTTCGTCTAAAAAAGAAGCGAGAGGAGAGAGCAGCGGAGAGTAGTGACAGTGAAGCATGACTCCCGGTATTGGGGGACTCTGTGGAAACCACAAGGGATGAATTGTCCAGTGATTCCTCAGAGTCAAATCTAAATTGGGATAATGATCATCTAATGGAGGAAGAAGAATTGGAATTATATCTGTCCTCCACACCCCAGGACTGGGCAGTGAGACCTGAAATAACATTATGGATCGAGGGATCACCCACCTTATTCCTCGTAGACTCCGGAGCACAAATGACTGTACTGAGGGACATAAAACACATACCAGTGTCCAAACAAACTATCAAAGTAATGGGAGCTAGCGGGAAACCAGTTGAATGTAAGATGAGCAAACCATGTAAAATACAGATTCCTGGGGACCCAGAATCGGAAGTGGAGCTTCCCGTTGTGTTGGCCCCACATTGTCCACACAATCTATTAGGACGAGACCTAATTTCAAATCTAGGATTGATTGTGGGGACTGGACCAGATAACACACTGATTGTACCCCGCAACCACAGACGAAAAAACAGATGATGTCATTTCTGGGACTGACTAATTACTGTCGACTGTGGATCCCAGTCTATGCTAAAATTACCAGACCGCTACAAGCATTGATCCACGACACCCCCATGAATATGGGAGACAAACTGACCTGGACTACAGAAGCTCTAGACTCGTTTTGTTTATTAAAACAGACCCTAATGTCGACCTCTGTGCTCCAGCTCCCAGACTATGACAAACCATTTGTACAAACATGTGATGTGCGTGATGGATGCATGACTTCAGTCTTGACACAGAAACATGGAACTAGATTGAAACCTGTGGCATGGGCATTGCCCCCGTGTGTACAGGCTGTAGTGGCGGCTGCAATGGCGGTCCACGCATCTGCTGAAGTAGTATTGTTCCACCCATTGACTCTCATGGTACCTCACGCAGTAGCAATGCTGTTGTTACAAACAAACATGGCATTCTTATCTCCATCTAGACATTTGAGTTGTACCACTACACTGTTATCACAGCCACATTTGTCAGTGATAAGATGTAATGTCCTGAACCCATCCACGCTGTTGCCGACTGAACAGGACGGGACTCCACATGAATGTGATAAACTGGCGATGGAAGACGTCAGACCACGACCAGACCTAAGTGACCTACCACTGACTAAAGGAGTAACTGTGTACATTGATGGATCAGCATCAAAAGATGCACAGAATCACAATCGTGTTGGTTATGCGATCACAGACCAAACTAAGCTGCTAAAATCAGGACGTCTGAATAGCAATCTATCAGCACAGGCTGCAGAACTAGTAGCGCTGATAGAAGCGTGTAAATTGTTCCAAGGTAAAAGTGTGACCATTTACACAGACTCACAGTATGCTTTTGGTACTGTCCATCAATTCTGTAAACAATGGGCGAATCGTGGTTTCCAGACGGCCTCAGGAAAACCAGTAACACACAAGAAATTGCTAATTGACCTGCTGGAGGCAATAAAATTGCCCAAAGCTATAGCTGTATGCAAATG